TGCCCTTATGAGTCTCTTCACCTTCAAATACCTTTTTAAGGACTGTAGTAAGCTATATAGCATCAACTAGGAGCTACTTTATAGTATATTCATTCTACTCAGAGTTTCACGCCTAAAGTCAGACATGTATTCACAGATAAGTATATATCAGCTGAACTTGCTATTAAAAGTAATTAGATTATTTAAGAATTTTTGTGAATCAATGAAATGTGTGTGGGAAAAGGAATGGAAAACAATTGTAGACACCTAAGATTGTGTAGGAGAAGAGTGGGAAATGGCAGAGGGTTAGAAATAGGGGGAAACACACACACACACACACACACACACACACACACACATATATATGAAACTAGAAATGGAAAATTATTGATGATAATATGTATGATTAAACCACTACAGTATATTCTGGATCGGAAATCACATTTTGTATGCTGTGACGATGCTCAGGGAATGCATGTAAATTAATTAATTAAAAATTTTAAAAATGCAAAACTTAAGTCAGTGTCCTTTTTCTGCCTCCAAAAGATGTCATGGAGATAAATGGTACCACATTCTGAATAAATCAGAGCTTTACGCTCTAAGCCTGGTTTGATAATTATCTAATTATTTTGATCTTCAAAATAATTCAAAGCAGCAGGTCAAATCTCAAACTTCCTGGCATCAGGAAAGCTATCAGGACGCTCCTTCTTCCAGTTGCTGATACCACATTACTCATTTCCTTCTGAGCCCTCACTAGCATCCTATTTCTACCATCAGAAAGGCAATTTGCACTTTCTTGATCATGCTCCTCAAAATTCTTCCAGCCACCCCATTTTATTCTAAGTCAACTCCTACACATTAGGTTATTACAGCAGCACTCTACTTCCAGTCACAGAGTCAGTAGTGGTTTTCTATTTGTAGCAAATTACGATATAATCTGTGGCTTAACATGGCACCCATTTTTTCTCATATAGTCCTGTGGGTCAGGAGTCCAGATAGATTAAATGGGACCTCTGCTCAAGGTCTCTCTTACAGGGCTGAAATCAGTGTCAGCCAGGACTACCATCTCATCTGAGGCTTGAGGTCCTCCTCAAACTCACTAGTTGTTGGCAGAATTCAGTTCCTCACAACTGAAGAGTGAAATATCCACTTTCCTGTTGACTGCCAGCCAGGGAACAATCTCAGCTCCTGTAGGGCTATAGGTCCTTGTCACATGAACCCCTCCCTTTACAACATTGCTGACCGCTTACTCAAGGCCAGCAGAACATCTACTGCTGCTGCTGTTTGTCTCTTTCAAAGGTTCACTTGATTAGGCCAGACCTACCTAGGATAATTCCCCTTTTCACTAACTCAAAATTAAATGATCAATCTACCTAGGATAATTTCCCTTTTCACTAACTCAAAATTAAATGATCAGTAACTTAATCATAGCAATGTTCACAAGTCTTGCCCCACACTGAAGAGGTAAGAAATATACAGGACATATATACTGGGGGGTGGAATCTTGGGACCATCTTAAGAGCTCTATCCACCTCACCAGAGCAATGGTCTACCCACTCCTTTCCCTCTAACCTTGGAGTTCTGGCCTCTTACAGTTCAGCTAAAGTGTTTTAAGCATTTACTACCCTTCCTTTCTCATTTTCACCACCTAGTTCTTTGAACAGATGCTTCTTGCTTTAAAGTGGTCTGACTTTCAACTGCATGTTTACTGTTCTTTCTCTGAGAGAGACGTCATTAAGCCAGTTGTCCTGAGCAACACAGAAAAATTAAAAGAGGCACAATTGTATGTGACTTGTAATCTTTATTCATCCTCAGCCCCTAGGGCTTTGTATAGATACATATTTGTGGATACTTACAAAAATATATGAACTACATAAAAATTTTAAAGAGGTTCTTAATAAAAAAAAGTCTGCCTAATATAAATTATTTAACATTCTGCTAGTACCAAAAAAAACTTTTGTTTTTATAAAATGAGAACTCTATAGAGATCAGCAGTTGGCATAATTGCTATGTCGCTGGACTCCCATATAGCTAACCGTGGTTTGAGTCCCAGACCCAGTGGCTTAAACTCACACCAGGTACATGTGTGTGCATGCCAAAGATCCCAAGAGGAGAATGGAGAAGGGATTGCCACATGGCCAACCCCCCTGGGGGATGATTTCTTGCTTTCTCTGTCTCGTTCTGGGGAGCGCACATGCCATATAGCAAAAAAAAAACTCTACCAAAAAAAAAAAAAAAACGAGAACTCTAACTAATGTCAAATATTTTAAGGATCTGCCAAAGAGAATTCATGGAGAAACCTATTTGCCTTGTACATAAATGTTGCTGCTGGCCATGTGTATCTCTAATTAAGCTCTTGCTGAAGACACAATTCATTATTTTTTCTATTTTTTTCCCTTTTTGGAGAGGTTTTTGCTATAGGGCACGTGTGCTCACCAGAAAGACAGAGACAGAGAGATAGAAAGAGAGAAATCACTCCCAAGGGGGGATGGCCACACCACAATCCCCTCTCCTCCATTCTCCTCTCGGGATCATGGGCACGCACACACACGCGCCCCATGTGCGTTTAAGCCACCAGGTCTGGGACTCGAACCACGGTTGGCTACATGGGAGTTCAGCGACATTACACTAACTGCTGGTCCCATTATTATTTTTTTTTTGGAGAGATTTTCACTGTAGGGCGTGTGCGCTCGCCAGACAGAGAGAGACATAGAGACAGAAAGCGAGAAATCACCCCCCAGGGGGGATGGTCATGCCGCCTCCTCCATTCTCCTCTCGGGATCTTGGGCACGCACGCACACGCGTCCGGCGTGAGTTTTAAGCCACCGGGTCCGGGACACGAACCGCGGTCGACTACGTGGGAATCCAGCGACATAGCCATTACGCTAACTGCTGGTTCCCGCTGGTCCCATTATTTTAATTTTTATTTTTTCTCTTCTGCACACCCCTTTCCTTCTGTGGAAAATCTTTTTTTTTTTTAAATTGCAGTGATTACACTGTAACTAGGCTTGTAAGAGTATTTATTCTGTCTACTATAGGCATTGTTTCCTCTAACTATTAATAGTTTCAGCAGTCAGGTTCAGTGTCTCTGGGGACATGCAGAAATCTTTACTTAAAGTTCATGGAACAATGAAATTAAAGTTTAAGTTTGCTTTGGTGCAAAAAAAACAGTATCTGTGCATAATATGCATTTCCCATGAACTTTGAAAATCCTTCCTATACACATGTGAAAGCAACTGAAGTAGGCATTTATATAAGCCAGTAGATGAGAAGAATGCACTCCTCGTCCATATAAAATAAATTTGTCTACTTTATACTGGGAATCTAGCAAAATGTTTAAATATGTTTGTTTTGTGTTAATATATACATGTATAATGTTGTTCACAGCACTATAAAAGAGAAGCCACTCTATCAAGCTTTATATTTGTTTTCCTTCGATAGCTGTCAAGTAATAACCTGTACTGAAGCAGGCCCAGTCTCTTATTCCCCTAATATGAACTGGGCTGCATTCACTAGCCTGACAGTTCAGGCTGCCATTATCTCATATAAGTGGACTTCAAAAAGTTTGTAGGAAAACAGAATGAAACTGCAAATTTATTAGTGCAAAAAGTTTGAAATCCATGCATAGTTTTTTTTTAATATGCATTTCCCATGAACTTTTTTAAGACTTCTTAAACATCTAACAATTTTTTTAAGAGAGATTTTTGCTATAGGGTATGTGTGCTCACCAGAGAGTCAAGAGAGACAGCAAGACAGAAAGCAAGAAATCACCCCCCGGGGTGATGGCCAGGCCACAATCCCTCCTCCTCCATTCTCCTCTTGGAATCTTAGGCGAGCATGCACATATACCCAGCATGAGTTTAAGTTGCCAGGTCCAGGACTGGAACAACAGTGAACTATGTGGGAGTCCAGTAATGTAACTAGTACTCCATCTGCTGGTCCCAATTTATTGATTTTCTGTCAGATATAGTAAACAAAATCAGAGAGCTTTAGTCACTTGAAGAGGAAGAATTGATTCTTATGTAAGGACTTCTAATCCTGGCACTAGGCACAATTTAATAGGTTGAGAGAACTTCACTACAGGAAACAGAATAATTAAGATGCATGAGACCAGCAGATGATTATGCTGCTAGACTCCCATGTAGTTGACCATGGTTCAAGTCCCAGACCCAGCAGTTTAAAACTCACACCAGATACATGTGCATGTGTTCAAAGTCCCAAGAGGGGAATTGAGAAGGAACTGTGGCATGGCCTTTGCTTGGGGGGGGGGTGATTTATCACTTTTTGTCTCTCAGTCTCTCTGGTGAGTATGTGCCCTATAGCAACAAACAAACAAACAAACAAAACAAACAACAAAAAACTCAAAAGAAAGAGGTATAAAGCATTTTATATAAGACATGGCAGAGATTATATACCTGAAAAAAAAATGGAAGCGTCAGATAATTTTAAATACCTTTTTAAAGAAAATTTTTAGGTTTTGGGACAAGCAGATGGCATAACGGTTACATCGCTGGACTCCCACATAGTTGACTGTGGTTTGAGTCCCAGACCCAATAGCTTAAAACTCATGCTGGTCACATGTGCATACATGCCCCAAATCCTGAGAGGAGACTGGAAAAGGGATTGTGGCATGGCCATCCCCCCTGGGGGGCATGATTTCTCACTTTCTGTCTCTCTCTCTCTCTCTGTCTCTCAAGTGAGTAAATGCGACCTATAGCAAAAATCTCTAAATATTTTTTTAGGTTTTTGTCATAGGGTATGTGTGCTCATTAGAGAGGGACAGAGAGATTCAGAGAGAAAGTGAGAGATCACCTTCCAGGGAACTGTTCACTCCACACTCCCTTCTCTTGTCGTCTTTTCTCAAGATTTTGGGCATGTAAGCACAAGTATTTGGTGTGATTTTTCAAGCCACCGGGTAAAAGACTCAAACCGTAGTCAGCCATATGGGAGTCTAGCACCTTAACCACTATGCCACCTGCTGGCCCCTTAAATACCTTTTTAAAGTCAGTTAGACATAGATATTCAAAAGAACCAAAAAAATGTTTTATTTATAAAAGTTCTTATTTGACCAGTGGTAAGAGCCAAGAAACTACATACCAAGAAACAACTAAGACCCCAGTAAGTCTTTAAGCTAGTTCATACATGGGAATGATCAGATAGCTCTCATTATTAGGTTATAAAGATGTCCTTCCAAGTGTCCTTCAATTGCACATAGACATATATGTAACCAAAGGGATTTGTGCAAGCAGTACCATGCTACTTTCAGACTCAGTTTAGTCACAGCTCTAGAGTGGTATTCCCAGTCTGCCTTACATAGGTGTTTCACCATTTTAATCATTTATTTATTGGCTTCTTTCTCTTTTTCTCCTCCTTTGACAGTTTTCTTCTTTGCTTCTCTATCAACTTCTTTCTCTTCTCCTTTCTTGGCCTTTTCTTCTCTACTGTCAGCTCCTTCCTCTCCACCATTGTTGGCTTCTTTCTCTCTTTCTCTGTCCTGAACACTGATATAAACTGCTTTATTATAGCCTTCCCGGTTTCGAGCAATTTCAATGGCAAAAAATTGAATCCTGGGGGCTAGAAGGTAAATAGGATTGATTACTGTCCTAGTCTCAGTTAATTCTTTATTAAATCTCCAGGAAATATATCAATAAAACTGAATTAACATGCAAACCATCCAAATATAGATATAAGGTTCAGAAATCCTGAATTCTAATCTCATAGTAATGAGACTGAAAGTACTTAACTACTTCATAGTTACTTAAGAAACAGCAATATGATCTTTGTTTTTTGTGTGTGTAAAATATATTTATTTTTTTCTCTCATTTTTTTCCTTTTTATTTTTTAAATTTCATTTTCTTTCAGTCAATCACATTATTTAGCTTACAATGTGAATATTTTAACATGTGAACATTTCTCCCTAGTCCAGTCGACTAAACTATAAATATCTTTAATAAGTAATATGATCTTTAAACATAATCTCCAACCTAACTATACGTCACTGACTTAGTTAAACAAGAGTCTTTACTCTCTTATACAGAAAAAAATTCCAGCAGCGAGAAACTTACCAAAGATGGTGTTTTCCTCAGTGTAACCCTGAGAACAATCTAGTCGTAACAAAGTACCATAGTTGAAGTCTTCTACGATCCCATCAAACTTCATGCAGAATGGCCTCCACTTCTATAAAGGCAAAAATGATGTGTTATGGAACTACCAGATGGTGTAATGGTTAGGTCACTCGACTCCCACATAGTCAACCAAGGTTTGAATCCAAGGCTCATGCTGGGTGGGTGTGCATGCATGCTCATAGTCCTGAGAGAAGAATGGAGAAGAAGGGATTGTGGCGTAGTCATCCCTTCTGGGGGGTGATTTCTCACTTTCTATCTCTGTTTCTCCGGTGAGCACATGCACCCTATAGCACAAATCTCTCTTAAATAAAAAATGATCTGTTAGCTGACAAATGCAAGAAAATTACATACTCAGGCCAGGAGAGAGGCTTTCACTTCCCCATTAAAAGAATAACCATACTGGGGCCAGCAGATGATATAGAGGTTATGTTGCTGGACTCACATGTGCTCAACCGCAGTTTGAGTCCTGGACCCAGTGGCTTCAAACTCATGCTGGGTGCATGTACACGCATGCCAAGATCCCAGGAGGAGAATAAAGAAGAGATTGCAGCATGGCCATCTTCTCTGGGGGATGATTTTCACATTCCTTCACTGTCTCTGTCTTTCTCTGGTAAGCACACATACCCTAAGGGAAAAACCTCTAAAATATTGTGTATACACACACACACACACACACACACACACATACACATTTAAAAAAATAATAACCGGTGGGACAGACTGGGATTAAGGGAGTTGTAAGTTTCGCAGTGAAATAAGCAGTGAGTTTTTTTCTTTTTTTGGAGAGGTTTTTGCTATAGGGCGCGTGCGCTCGCCAGACAGACAGAAAGAGACAGAGAGATAAAAAGCGAGAAATCAACCCCCAGAGTAGATGGCCATGCCACAATCCCTTCTCCTCCATTCTCCTCTAGGGATCTTGGGCACGCACACACACGCGCCCGGCGTGAGTTTAAGCCAACAGGTCCGGGACTTGAACCGCGGTCGACTACGTGGGAGTCCAGCGACATAGCCATTACGTTAACTGCTGGTCTCAAGCAGTGAGTTTTTATGCTATCCATTGTGTCATTGGACTGGGATTTCCCAACAAAATTGTTTTTTAAGAGGGACTTCAGCTATATAGGGCACATGCTCTTGCTAGAGAGACAGGGAGAAATAACCTCCCAGGGGAATGGTCATGCCACAATCCTATCTCCTCCACTCTCCTCTCAAGATTTTGGGCATACACACACATGCACCTGGTGTGAGTTTTAAACTGCTGGATCCGGGACTTGAACTGTGGTTGACCATGTGGGGATCCAGTGATGTAAGCATTATGCCACCAGCCCACAGATAATATTTTAACCTGAAAAGTATCTAAATCCACTACTACAAGTTAAAGTGTAATTTCTTTTTTTTTGGAGAGATTTTTTGCTAAGGGTGTATGTGCTCACCAGAAAGACAGAAAGTGAGAAATCACTTGAGAAATCACCCCCCAGGGGGATGGTCATGCCACAATCCCTTCTCCTCCACTCTCCTCTCAGGATCTTGGGCACACACGCACACACACCCGGCATGAGTTTTAAGCCACCGGGTCCGGGACGCGAACCGCGGTCGACTACGTGGGAGTCCAGCGACATAGCCATTACGCTAACTGCTGGTGCCCTTAAAGTGTAATTTCTTGGGGCCGGCAAGCGGCGTGGTGGTTAAGAGTGCTGGATTCCCACATGGCCAACCGTGGTTCTAGTTCCGGACCTGGATGCTTGCTTCCTCGCTTTCCCTTTTTCTCTCTCTGTCTCTCTGGTCAAAATTTAAAAATGATAATAACAACAAATGGAAATAAATAAATATTTTTAAAAAATAAAGTGTAATTTCTTAAATAGACTCTGTTTTATTTAGAAGTTACTAAGTAGCTCAGGCCTAAGTGGTTATTCATCCCAATGAAAGCACAATGAAGGCAAGAATTTAGCCCAAAGTCATAAAGTTAGATTTTAATAAATAAGTTCATTCGGTAGTAGTAATTTTCTAAAAATCAGTAACAGTCTGCTAGGAGTTAAACGATTAAATTCTTCTGCAAAGAAGCAGAGTGAAACAGTGGATACAGAAGCTGGGAAGGGAAGGAGTGTGGAGGAGATAAAAGAACTTGGTTAACAGATACGAGAGAACAAAGAGAAAGGTAGAATGAGTTCTAGAGTACTACAGCACAGTAGTATAATTACGAATGGCAATAATTCAATGTATATTTTCAAAATATCTATTAGGTGGTTGAAAAACTCATGATGTGTTTTTTTATGCAAAAATGCATCATGACTTTTCCAACCAACCAATAGAAGATGATTTCAAATGTTCACAATTCAAAGTAATGATACCTATTTGAGATAGTTGACATATTTATTGCCCTGATCTAATCATTACAAATTGATGCCATGTATTGAAAAAGCATACCATAACCCATGAATATGTACAACTACTATATGTCAATTAAAATATAATAAAAAATAGTTTAGACTCATTGGCCAAGGGTATGCATGCAAAAATATTTTCCCAACTCTAAAATTATTAGTGCCCTATAAAAATATAAAATGATCACATAAGCAATGAGAAATGTCAGTATGCCAATTATCCATGACTTATGATCACATGAACTTAAATCCACTGGATCTAAACACCTCCTTATACCCTACTGGCCACGCTCTCATGCAAGCCTTCTGGTTAAACCATCCACTTAAGTAAATCCTAAAAGGTATGGCTGGGTTGGGATTTGAAATGTCCAAGTCAAAAAAGAGAAAAAAAAATAGACTTAATGAGTATTTAAAAAAAAAATCCCTAAACTCAAAAAACATTCATTTCCTAACTCACTTACAACTACAAAACCCTCTAGTTCTTCACATATTTTTCTTTAAAAAAAGAACAGGGGGCTGGCAGGTAGCATGGTGGTTAAGGGCCACCCTGGACTCCCACATGGCTGATAGTGGTTCGAGTACTGGACCTGATGGCTTATTTTCTCACTTTCTCTCTCTTTCTGATCAAATAAAAATCAAAGAAAAATAAATAAATAAATAAAGTCAAATTTAAAAAATTCTTAAAAAAGAAACAACAAAGAACAGGGAGAGTGGTGTAAATGTATAAAAATATGCTCAGAATCAAAAATTGGACAGATGTTAGGTAACACTTAAGCGATTTCTTACCTCTTTAGCTGATTCTGATTTGAGTTCTTCTGGGTCCAATACATCTATCCTGAGTTTCTCAAAAATTTCCCGGAACTCAGAGTAAATTTGGTCATCCACTTTGGTGAGTTTCAGGAACTGTGGGTCAACTGATGAAATCAGCTGCCAGACAATAAGAAAACATACAGATACTAGCCTCTAATTTGCTACACTTCTATCTCCCACTTCTGCCAAAAAATATCCTTATGGTTCTCAAGGCAAATTTAATTAGAAAGTATTGACAGCCTAGATTCTGAATGAAATCATGAGTTTTAATGGGCCATAATACATTATTGTCCCCTCAATCAATTTGGCAATTGGCCCATTTGGCCCTAGCACTGCCTGGCTAGCACCCTCTGTGGATTGTTCATTCATTCAACAAACATTTATTAAGTGATTAGCACATACAGGTCAGGCACACTTTTGTCAGTTAATAACAAAACTCATTGTCAGATTCTCTCCCACACCACTGCTTGCTGGGGGTAAGATCTTATAATAACAAAAAACTATACACAACTATTTAATTTGCTGAGAATAGTGATTAGCAGAGCATCATACACTAGTATTACATGTTTAATTCTGTTTAATAATGAAGACAGATAACTCACCTTGTAATAGACTTCAGCATGCTGCATTGCTCTCATGGCCCAAGCCATCTCAATGTCAGGCTACAAAAGAGTGAAGAATGCCAAGTCAGAAATCTTCCAATCCTACTTCTGGATAACAAATAAAGGGTCTGTGGATTTCTAGTTTATGCTTAAGTTGGTTACCAAACTTGGTGATATCATCAAAGGATGAACATTGGACTACTAGATTTGGATAACATAATAATTCTTTAGTTCTTACAGAAACCAAAAGAAGCTATCTACACAGTATAATAAACATAATGAGATACTGTCTATCTTTTCCCAGGAGCTAGTGAAAGTGTAAAAGAATACATAAAGCAGTAGATAAATCACCTTACAAGATTCAGTTAAATCAATGCAAAACTGAAATAATGCACCCACCTACACCACTGAGTTGTTAGGAAAACAAGATAATGGAAGTGAAACTACTTTTCACTTTGAAGTGTGTGGTACTTCATATTTATCATTAGGGTTTATTAAATAACAAATTCTTCCATCCTATAACACCTAGAAGTCAGTATCATAAAGCAGGCCAGATTTAAATAAGTCTTATCAGGCACCACCACCTATTCCTCTGGAATCTCTCACTCCAACTAGACTGATCTATTTCAGTGACTCCAGAAAAATTCATTTACACTTGTACCTCCATGCCTTAAGCCATGCACTTTTCCTACCTTCCAATCCATGTTCTTTGTCCACCTACACTTTGGGTATCTAGTTCAAGCTCCACTTCCTCAGAAGTCTTCTACAGCCTCAGTCCTTAGAGGTCTCCCCTTTTTCTAAATTCTTTGGATCTTATAGTCTGACTCACTCACCTAGTATACAACACATTTTTACTTAAGTGTTACTACTATTCTCAAGTCCCTTTGTCTTAGTTCCCAAAATATATCATGTGCTTTTCCCCTAAAGGTCTAAACTAGACATATCCTAAGTAAGCCAGTGAAACTTTGCTGCACAATGGACTCACTCACTCGGAGATCTTTATAAAAATATATTGATTCTTAGCTCCCATTCTCCCGACATTCTGATTTAGTTGGTATGAGTCGCAATCTAGACATCGGGATGTTTATAAGCTTCCCAGATGAATCTAAAGCTCAGCAAACTTTGAAAATGAACTCCGCAGGCATCAGACCTGCGTTTGCAGACCAAGATTAGAATGATTGAAGGCGTGGTTTCTGGCAGATGTAGAGAGGTAAGCAGAAGGTATTAGGGCAAGGGGTTATAATTTAGTGACTGGTCCTGCAGAGACCCCAGCTACCTGGGTGGGAGGGATCTGTGCGTGAGTCATACTCACATCATTTCCATATGATTCTGCTGGGAGCGAAAGAGCATGTGCCACAGATAGCAGCTCCCCGGAAACCTGGGAAGGAGAAAAAAAGGGAGGGGGCTAGTGGGAAGAGTTCAACGTTCTATTCAATTCGACTTCCCCATTCACCAGACCCCAGAGAAACGTCTCACCCGCTCATCAGTTCCACTAGAAGCCTCCATGTTGCAGCCCAGAAAGCGTGGCTTCACCTTCCCGGAAATGATATTTTTGCGAGCTCCTCCCGCAATTGGTTGGAGCGGGGGCGGGACCAGAGTCATTCTCATCCGGCTACGCCTGCGCACACGTTCCCTCGCTCCAAGAAAGTTGCTGGCTCTGCCTCACTCTCACCGCAGGTTACAAAAGGGACGTGATGTTACATATTCTGGGTGGTTGGAGAGATCTGATGTGGTTGACTGCTCGGCAATTTCCATGGTAAACCTAAAGCAAAGCCTGAGTTAAATTAATGCGCCTTTGAACCAGAAGACAGCGTGGTGGTTGAGGGGCTGGGCTCCCACAAGACCGACCGCGACTGGAGTCCTGGACCTGGCAGCTTGCTTTCTCACTTTCCCTCTTTCTTTCTCTGACTCTCTGGTGAGCACCTGTGCCTTATGGCAAGTTTATTTTATTTTATTTTATTTTTAGTCGCCTTTTGTGTCACCATCGCACTGTGTACCCAGCAGAAATTAAAATTCACACTACGTTTGTGCACCCCCGCAACACATACACCAGTACCCCAAACTAGGGGAGTAAATCATAAACAGTCATGGTGCTAGAGGGTAGAGTGAAGGGATAGAGAATTTAGTCCCTGTCTTGAAAGAACTAGATATACAATAGTAAGAGAAAAGATAAAGTGATCACAGAA